TCATCCTGACCGAGATGAGGTCTATTTCAGACTCACTGCAAGGAATCTTTCTCTAGTGAGTGCTGATGTTCATGCTAGAGCCCTAGCCAGTGCCAGGAGGAAATGATTTTTCTGGCTTGACACTTGGGAGAGTCCATGTCAGAGATGGGCTTATTGAGGCAAGAGGCAGGAGGCAGGAGGCCTGGGCATGCGTGTCCCAGCTTAGGCATATACTATTCTAAATTGGTAGATGGTTACTTGTGCTTAAATGCTCTGCTGTGCCTGCAAAGCTCTTAGGATCACGTACCTAGAGCTGGCAGGGCCCTCACAAGCCTTCTGGTCCAGCCCTCCTATTTTACAGAGGAGGAAACTGAGGTGAGGGGAGAGTCTAGAACTGGAAGGGATCTTAGGGGCCAGCTTATTCAAGCCCCTCGTTTTACAGGGGAGGAAACTGAGTCTGAGAAGTTAAATGATTTGTGCAAGGTCCTAAGTGTCAGAGGTAAGATGTGAAGCCAAGTCCTCTGACTCCAGAGCCACTGCTTGAATATCTGTTAAGCAAGGCCTAGTTTATAATCTGTGCTTAGAGGTCAAGTGAGGAGCCCATGTCTGTTATTTATTAACATCAAATTGTATGGGCTCCAGCCATAAACCACCGACAGGAGCAATGGGGCTCTTGGTTCTGTAAAGAATGCATCAGGATTTGTGATTTCCTTAGTGCAGATAGGTACACGGTGGGTGTATGCAGGTGGGTGAGGCAGCCCTCCTTGCTGTAGCAGATGGTCTTTGGGGATTGCCATGAGAGAGAAAAAAACAAGCCATTCCTGAGTGCTGAACCTCCAACACACTTAACGAGGGTAGCCCTTGGTCCAACAAACATATCATTTATTGCCTGATACCAGCTTGAAGCCTTTCCACTTTAGTATAGGAGCCACTAAGGCAGGTAGGTGATGCTGCAGTGGTTAAAGCACTGGGCCTGGAGTCAGGAACACCTGAGTTCATATCAGGCCTCAGATACTTCCTAGCTGTGAGACCCTAGGCAAGTCACCTCACCCTGTTTGCCTCAGTTTCCTCATCTGTAAAATTTGCTGGGGAAGGAAATCACATACCACTCCAGTATTTCTGCCAAGAAACCCCCAAATGGGGTCACAGAGAGTAGGACACAACTGGAAACAGCTGAACAACAACAAAAATAGGGCCTACTAGATACTATGTGTTGCTGGCATAGCCTTTTTTGGGAAGCCAGGGTCCCTGCCACATTACAACAAAGTGTCAGAGGAGAATGTTAGTGGAGGCTCATCTCAGAGAACTAAAATTGTCTGGCTCAAATACTTAATGGATGAGCTACTTACCTGTTTTCATGTCAGAATTAACATTTGTTCACTTCTTTTACCATACTATTGCAATCACTTAAAAAAAACTATTTAAAAAAGAGATGAAACAAATTCATTTTTATTATTTAATTAAAGGAAGGAAACAAGCTTTTATTAAGCTCCTGCTGTGTGCCAGGCACTGTGCTAAGAGCTTTATAAATATTATTTCATTTGATCCTCACAACATCCTTGGGAGGTAGCTGCTATTATGACCTTCATTTTACACATGAGGAAACTGAGGTAGACAGGAGTTTGTGACTTGCCCAGTCTGACACAGCGAGTAATTATCTGAGGTAGAATTTGAACTCAGGCCTTCCTGACTCCAGGCCCAATGCTCTCTGCATTGTGGCGCCACCTAGTGACCATAAAGTTCTATTCCCTTTTTCCTTCTCTTCTAGGAATCAGTTCTCGGGCCTGTTCCAAATTTTAAGTTTCCATTTGTATACATGTAGACAAAGGAGTGATTAGGAGAAAATGTTTTTGCTTGTAGATGGTCCCCAGTTTTATACTTTTTCAGGTGATATTGCCTTTGCTGAACCCTATTTCTGTCAGCTAGGTGGCACAGTGGGTAGCTCTCTAGGTCTGGAGTTAGGAAGACCTGAGTTTAAATAGGACTTCAGATGCTTGTGACCCTGGGCAATTCGCTTAACCTCTGTTTGCCTCAGTTTCTTCATATACAAAATGGGGATAATAATAGCACCTAACTTACAGGGTTGTCGTGAGAATCAAATGTGATAATATTTGGAAAGTATTTTGCAAACTTTAAAGTGCTCTATAAATCCTACTAGTAGAAGTAGTAGTAGTAGTCATTGTAGCAGCAGCAGTAGTAGTAGTCATTGTTGTTGTCATCGTTATCCTGAGCATGTTAACTCACCAGTATTGGGGCATTTGCCTGCTGCATAAAATAGCACCTGCCTCATAAGGTTGTGAGAATCAAATGAGATAACATGTAAAGCACTTAGCACAGTGCCTGGCCCATAGTGGGTGCTATATAAAGCCTTGTCCCCTTCCCTAGATGACTTCTTTTATGTTATTAAGAAATGAAGAAAAATTGGTAAGTTTCTCATTTGATGTGGTAGAAATCAGCTCCATTAAAAACTTGCTTTTAAACATAAAGACTGCCCTAAACCACTGTATCTACTGTAACAACCACTGGGTCTTGTCCATTTTATGATTCTTTCTCACATTTGAAGAGATTCACTGGTAACCCCAAAATATGAAAAGACCCAGAAGAAAGTGTCTGGTGCATTGGGCAGATGTTCTATAGAGGATTCAGAGAAAGGGCTAGGCAAGATCTATCTAGGATGAGACGTCAGGGAAGGGCTTTGATCTCTACTGGCCGAGTACCCACACTGATCAATTATGATAACAAAGTATAAAAATAGAGGAGCATAATATGGTGGAAAGAGAACTGGCCTGGGCATTGGGAGAACGGGATTCCAGTCCCCACTTGACCATGAGCTAGTATTTGTGACCTTGAACAAGTTGCTAAAATTCTCTGAGCCTGTGTTTTTTTTTCTTCTGTAAAATGAGAGGTGTGGATAAAATAATCTCTATAGACATTTCTGGTGCTAGAATTCCTTGTTGCTCCAGAACTTCTAGGATGATGAGATTTAGCACTTCTAGGCTATGTGGCCAAGCTAGCTTTGGACTCTGCCCTTCTCCTTTCCCGGTTGACTCCCTGAGCTGTCTAACCCTCATCAGCCTGGATCATGTATTTGTCCCCATTTGCTTTGGGATTCTCTCAGCATATTGACCCTGTCTGGCTTTATACCTGGATCTTGGCTGTCTCCTTTCCTTCTTTGTCTGCCTGGGATCATTTCAGGTCAGCTTCAGTCCTGCAACTGGTGACCCAGCTCTATCACTTCTCTCACCTCCACAATTTCACTTGGCCCCTTTCCCTTTGGCCATGGAGAAGAGCCACAGTTAGCAGTATCTGAAGGGCTTCTGCTTTAGGTCTGTGGCAAGCACAAGGTCCCAGGGCTAATGCAGACTCAAGGTCAGATACTGCACTCAGACCTAGTATATTCTTCCTTTTGTGGATTAACTATTCAGAAAGTTGAGATAAAAAGCTTGGAAATTTCCCCCTTGATATTTCAGCCTGTTCTCCTTGGTTCACCCAGCCTCCCATTAAAAGAAGTTTTTCAGTTTGCATGTTAATGCAAACAGAGTAACTTTAATCCCTTAAATTGGTTGGTCAATCCTATTAAGCTATTTGTGGTTATGGGCCTGGTCAGATCCTGGGTACAATCAGCTAGGGCTCATTTGGCAGCTCTTTCTACTTTCCATGTATTAAGGGTAAGTCTCTAATAGCCTTCCTCATTATATTTCAAGAGGTGGTTTTTGTTAAGACCTTCTATTAAGGAAAGAACTACCTTGTAAGATAACAATGTGGCCCCATCAGAGTTAATTTGCTTCCTCCTCCACCCTCCCTGTTCCCCCTCCCAAAAAAAACCCACCCTAAAACCACATTTTCAACTTGTAACTTTAATTGCCTCAGATGGGAGACTTTTTTAATTGCAGTTACACCAGAGGAGAGAATTAGTTAGCTCTAAGTTCTTGGTTTTCAGTCATTTTTTCAATAGTATTGCAGTTGGATTTTTGGTGTGAAATACATTTTTAACGATACCTTTTGTTTTCATATTACCTACATTTTGAAATGTATTTCTTCCTCCTCTCCCTCCCAGAGAGCCTTCTCTTGGAACCAGAAAGAAAAAAGAAGAAAAAAAAATGTTCAGCAAGACTAACCAAACACTTTGAAAAACTTTGACATTATCTGTAGTATTCCATACCCATAGTCCTTTACCTCTGCAAAGGAGGGAGGGAAAGAGGGGGCAGATGTCTTCTATCTCTTCATTGGGGCCCAACTTGGTCATTATAATTTCACAGATTCAATTTCAGCTATTGTTGCCATCTCTTTCATTTACATGGTTGTAATTATTGTGTATATTGTCTTTCTGGTTCTATTTACTTCACTCTGTAGTCTTCATATTTATCATTTCACATTCATGGACCACAGCCATCCCCCAAAGAGTGAGCAAGGCAGCTAGGTGGTGCTATAGTGCATCGCGTGCCCAAGAAGACTCTTCTTCCTGAGTTCAGATTTGGCCTCAGACACTTACTAGCTGTGTGACCCTGGGCAAGTCACTTCACCCTGTTTGCCTGTTTCCTCATCTGTAAAATGAGCTAGAGAAGGAAATGGCCAACTATTCCAGTATCTTTGCCAAGAAACCTCCAAATGGGGTCATAGAGAATTGAACACAGCTGGAATGATTGAACAACAACAAATCAATGAGTACCTACTTTATTTCCAGTCCTTTGCCACCACCACAAGTGCTGATACAAATATTTCAATGTGTATGAGGCCTTTCTTTCTATCCTTGAACTCCTTGTGGTTCTCCCTAGTGTGGACTCTTTGAATCAAAGGATATAGACATTTTAAGTCACTTTCTTCACCTAATTCCAAATTATTGCAGTTGGTTTTACCAACTAATCTAGTTTCTCTGCAAAGTCTCCCTCCTCCCTTAAGCTTGAACCCAATCCTAGATAAGTAGTCCCACAATCCCTAAAGGGAAGAGACCCACCTAAATTCCTCACCTGGAAAGCTCTAAAACTCTCAAATTAAGGAAACATCCTCATTTTCTCTTTCAGATTAAAATTAAATTGCCAGGCACCAAGTCTTCTGACATCACTTTGGATATCCGTGAAAAAGTTCTCGATCTTCGTACCCCCAAGCAGTAAGTTAAACATAGCAAGTGTATACTGTCAATATGGCATATATAACTGATATCTTTTTATTTAAAATGTATGGAGTGCTTTTGCTGTGGCCTCTAAAGAGAGGCCATGCCTATGTCATGCCAGGGCATCCCACTGGAAAGTGAACATTTTAGTTACTCAGATATTTGTTTTACATAATATCAGTATATCTGAAAGAATCCAGATGCCTTTTTAAACCCCACTTCTCAGTCAGATCTTTAGCTTATGATGTGGTTAATTGACATGTCAGGACAAATGCTAAGATGTGAAGATGCTTCAAAGCTATTAAGCCTTGCATGTGAATTCTTACAAATTCTCTACTGGAACAGCACAGGTGGAGAATTTAGTTTTAAAATTTGTATGTATAAGATATTAATGGTTAAATTTGATTAGTGTCAGCAAAATCCAATTCTGTCATCAAATGCTTGAAACAAAAATGTTAAGAATCACATTTTTCATGATACTTTTTTTGTTTTTATATCACATTCATTTCCAAATGTACCCTCCTCCCATTGCCTATCTAGTGAGCCTTCTGTTGTAACAAATATTTAAAAAGAAAAAGAAAAAACAATTTAGCGAAACTCACTAACAATCTTAGTGAGAACAACAAAATGAAAATGAGGGCTGTGTAATTATAATGATTAAGCTAATATTTAAAGAAGAAATGAGAAAATACATCTCCCTCTTTTCTTTGCACCAGTGCGGGACTCTGTACATATACTGGCAGATGGGGTCTATATGTCAGTTGGCTTTGCTGAACTGCTTTTTTTTCCTCTTTTTTAATTCTTTGGTTTAAGGTATGGTTGAGTAGGTAGGAGAGGCAAGGGATACAGAGATTTAAAAATGAAGAGAATGTAAAAACAAAAGATCAATTAAAAAGAAGATGAAAGAAAGAGAAGAAAGGCTAATGATTTTCTCAACCATGCCACACCCATTGGTGTCCTGGTGTGGTCAGCTCTCCATTATCTGAATTTAGATTCTCCACAGCTCAAATCTTGCTTTCCAAATGGACATTGATATGAATACCTATTCTGCTTAATTGCTTTCAGCTGGGAATTCTTTGAAACTCAAACCAAACCATTGCAGCCTCAGGTTGGTGACATCAGTGTCTGCTTGTGTCTAAGTACATTATTGTGTATTTGACCATAATCAGTAAAAACCCAATGATCAAAGTGGAGTAGATGCAGGCTGGGGAGCCACACCACTGTTACTCTTCATTAATGCAAATAAGTGAGAGCTGCCTGTAGTTCGACAAACCTTTGAAATACACAGCGGAAACTCAGCTGCCATTTCTAGTTTGTCTGAAGTTTAAGGTCCGTTTAGGGGGTCTAGAAAATGCACATATGTATATCATCTAGATATGGAAACCAAATCACTTCCCTAATCTATTAAATACATGAAATCAAAACTACATCATGTGAAATGTGACTATAGCAAGGTTGACCTATGACAATTGGGTCTCTAAACCCGAACCTTGCAACTTCCTAAATTTTGTGTACATTTTTTGATTTTGATATTTGGATATCATCGCTAATATTCACATAGTTTCAATAGAGAAAATGTTAACTCAAATGTTTGACTTAAATGACTGAACAGAAACTCTTTTTTAAAATTTACTATTTCATTTTCCCCAAGTATATGTAAAAACAATTTTAATATTCTTTCCCCCCCCCCAAATTTTGGTTCCAAATCCTCTCCCTCCCTTCCTTCCCCCCCTCTCATTGAGAAGGCAAGCAATTTGACATAGGTTATACATGTGTAGTCATGCAAAACACATTTCCATATAAGTCATGCTATAAAAGAAAAAACAGACCAAAAAACCCCCAAGAAAGATAAAGAAAGTAAAGAAAAAGTATGCTTCAATCTGCATTCAGACTCTGCCAGTTCTTTTTCTGGAGATGGCCAGCACCTTTCATCACAAGTCCTTCAGAATTGTCTTGGATCATTGTATTGCTGAGAATAGCCAAGTTATTCACAGTTGATCTTCATACAATAGTGCTGTTACTGTATACAACTGAACAAAAACTCTTAAAGAACAATACTCTAGCTCTTCGAGAATTCATAGTTTCTTTCACTGGTTGGGGGGGTGTGGGCTGGATTTCTTCCACCATCGCAGACTTGCAGTCCCTCCATAGCATGGTACATTATCTTCCAGCGTATCACCCTGTGGTTGACTGAGTGATGAATCCCCTCCAAACATGTGTAGAACATCAACCACACTGTCCATCACCACTCCATACTTAAAGACAAAATGAATGGTCAGTCTTAAAATGTAAAGACAAAGTGGATGGTGAATGTCCAAGTTGAGTTTTATGGTACAGGAATTATCCTTTCAAGTGTGATTCTATGGGGAACTGAGCATTTGTTTTCCTTCGTTCTGTTAGTGTTTTATCCAGTGACTGCTCTGGGTAGGACACAAAGATAGATAAGAGATGCTCTCTGCCCTGCGTTGGTGGTACTTGAGCTTCATCTTGGAGGAAGAGAAAGTTTTACTTTCTAAATATTTAATAGAATTTTGTTGCATTTAAATATTAATCTTAGTTTGGTCATTACCCAGTAAAACACAACAGGCAAATGTACTTCTCTCCTAAAAGTCTAAATTGGTTGATGTTACCAAAGCAGAAACACTAGTTGAGCTCCATGATTCTAATGGGAGCTGCCGCCTTGGAGTGGATTTCTCTAGACAAAGAAATCCATGTTATCATCGACATTACTGCTTCAGCTAATTTCTTACAGTGAATGTGCACTGTCTCTGGCTGAGGAGAATAATTTACTCGACTGTTGAGTTTTAGGTTTTCTTCTTAGAATAAAACATTATTTATAGAATAAAAGCTAAAGAAAACCCATTTTTAGCAGAACCTGTATTATGAGCAACAGATTTGAAAAGGTGCATGTGTACGTTTCTGCCCACTGATTTATTTTGATGCATTTATATGAATCATCCCGATATATAAACCAAACCACAATCCTTACAGCAACACAATTTCACAGATCACATAAATGTTTTTCCTGGGGCAGGAGTGTTTGCTGTTGGGCCACTGCCTGTAGAGGGAGCTCTTTCTCCTAGCCTGTAACTTCTCAAGTAGTAGAACCCTCACAGAAAAGGTCACCTTTAGGAACTTGAGATGTATGATCGATATTTCTAACAAGAAAGATCTCCTGGACTTAGTTAGGTCTGCATATGTGATTGAAGAAGCAATTGATTTTCAAGTTTTTTTTTTTATAAAGTAACACTCAATTCAAGCTCTTAACAATACTTGTACTTTTTTTAAAAATACTGTTTTCTTTTAGGGATTTGAAATCTTGTAGCCTCTAGAAAAGATCATCTGTCCACGTTGTTTAGAAATGCTCAACATTTTTATCAGAGAAAACTGAGTAATAAGGGCTGTAAGCATTTACTTTTCTTTAGAATCTTCCATATGCCAGGCCCATGCATAATTCAGACACATAGCACTATGACAGAATGGTGACTGTCTCATCACCCACATTGCAGCTAAAGTGCTCGAAGATGGACAACTGAGCCATTAACTGCAAACAAATCCAGAAATCTATCAGGGAGATTTTTTTTTTGATCAATGTTGAGTCAGAAGAGCCAGCAGCAAGAAAATAGAACCACTTTCATTAGTCTGGTATTGTAATTAAGCCAAAACTGAGTCTCAATTGTTAGCCCTCTGGTGAGGACTCAGGCTGCAGTGCCACAGAACCTTTCAGATTTTCAACTTTGACCCAACAGGCCTGGTCAGCACAGGCCAACGAGTTGAGTCATTCCATTCCTATGCTACTGTGAGGACGAATGGGGCAAACCAGTTTATTCTAGTACATATTAAGCACTTGTAATCTACAAGACCCTGAATTTACTTCTGAAAAATGTATATGTCCATGTCATATCCCCGGACATATACACAGATAACTAGAATGCAAGGTAGTGTGTCAGGTGAAAGGAGAGATTCAAGACAAAATACTCTAGGAAACCTTGAGGAGGGAGGGAATCCTCTTGCGGCTAGAAGGTATTTTAGAAGAGATGGTACCTGAGCTTCATCTTGAAGGAAGATAAGGTTTTTGAAGCAAAGATGAGGAGGGAGTACATTTTAAGCGTGGGGAATATATGGAAGTAGGAAACAGCATATCCAAATTCAGGGCATGGCTTAGTCTGGGTTGGCTAGGGAGTAAGCCTGGAAAAGTATGTTAGAACCAGATGGTGGAAGGCCTGCCTAAGGAATTTGCATTTTATGCTACAGGCAATAGGGAGATACTACTGATTCTTGGGACAGCTAGGTGGCGCTTCACTGCACAAAACGCCAGGCCTGGAGTTAGGAAGAGTCTTCCCGAATTCAAATCTGGCTTCAGACACTTATCAGCTGTGTGACTGTGGACAAATCACTTTACCCTGTTTGCCTCAGTTCCTCATCTGTAAAATGATCTAGAGAAGGAAATGGCAAACCACTCCAGTATCTTTGCCAAGAAAACCCTAAATGGGGTAGAGGGTCATGAAGAGTTGGACATGACTGAAATGATGCAGCAACTTATTCTTGAGTAGGGAAATGTCATGATCAGAACAGTATCCTATAATATGTGGGAAGTATTGGAGAGAGAGGAGAGTGGAGGAGAGGGAGAGTCTTAGGAGGCTTTTACAGTAGTTGAGGAGAGAAGTGATAAGAGCCTGTTGTGTCAGGGGAGGAAAGGGAACAAATACCAGAGATACTGTGGAGGTCTAGTTGCTAGGGTTTATTGGGAGCAGATTTGGTTGGAGAAAGAGGGAATCCATGATCCTAAGATTATCATACACTTAGAACTAAAAGAGAACTTGGAGGTCACAGAGTCCAACCCCCCAATTTTGTAGAAGAAGAAACTGAGGCCAGAGAGAAATGTCTTGCTTAAGGTCACACACGAAGTGATAGAAGTGGGATTCAAAGCCAGGCCTTCTGAGTTCAGATCCAGCACTCTTCCCACTGTGGATATGTTGAGTTTGAGGTTTGGGTAGAATATGCAAGTGATGCTATACAGAAGGCAGTTGTAGGGAATAAGCATTTATGAAGTGCCTGTTATGTGCCAGGCCCTGCGCTAAGCATATTTTATAAATATTATCTCATTTGATCCTCACTACAACCTTGTAGTAGGTAGGTGCTATTATTATTCCCATTTTATAGTTGAGGAAACTGAGGCAAGCAGAGGTTAAGTGATTTGTCCAAGGTCACAGAGCTAGTAAGTGTATGAGGCTGAATTTGAACTTAGGTTTTCAGACTCCAGGCCCAGTACTTTATCTGCTATGCTACCTAACTGCCTCTAGGGAATGTTTGAAGCTGGAATTTGGAAGTCATCTGTGCAGTGATAATGACAATTGAACCTGTAGGAGCAGATGAGATTACAAAGGGAACTTGTAGAGAGAAGAGGACATAGGACAGAGTTCTTTGGTGGGGGTGGGAGGGCACAATAGGGAGTGGAGGATGATGATGAACTGGCAAAGGATACTGAGGACGGAGCTTTGAGGTGAGCTCATAGTTAGGGGACAGTGAAGGAGACTGAGAAAGAGTGGTCAGAGAGATAGGAGGAGAACCAGGAGGGAGCAAGCAGAGAGTGTTCAGAAGGAGGGAGTGGTCAACAGGGCTGAATGCTCCCAAAAAGTCAAGTGGAAAGATGACTGAGAAAAGGATGTCAGGTTTAGCAAGTGCAAGATCTTGGGTGACCTTTAAGAGAGCCCCTGGCATTTAAGTCGTCTCTTTAAGAGACAACTGGCATCAGAAGCCAATTGCAAGAGGCTGAGCGGAGAGCAGGTGCAGGCAATGGATGGAGTAAATGCCTCCTTTTAGGAATTTAGCTGTGAAAGGGAGTAGAGATATAGTGCTAGTTTGTGGAGATGGAAGGGTCAAACGAAGGTTTTTAAAAACAGACTTTTTGTTATAATTTGTTTTTACATCCCCTAGATTTTCCTCTGTATCCCTCCTCCTTGCTTCTTCCAGAAAAACATCCCTTATAACAACAAAAAAGGAAGGAAGAAAGAAAGAAAGAAAGAAAGAAAGAAAGAAAGAGAGAAAGAAAAGAGGAAGAAGAGGAAAAATCAGGAGAAGTAGTCAACACATCCAAAAGATCTAACCTGACATGCAGTATCCCACACCGAGGGAACCAACCTCTGCAGAGACAGAGGGAAAACTGTCTTCTCTTGTCTCTGCTTCGGGATCAAGTTTGGTCTTTCTAATTTCTCAACATTCAGTTCAAAAGAATGTTTTTTAAAGGATTTGAAAAGACTTTAGCACGTTTGTAGCCAACAGGGAAGGAAGCGGTTGCTAGGAAGGGACTGAAGATGAGAGAAAGAACAATTAGCCAAGCTCCTGAAAGGGAGGAGATCACAAGGGAAGGGATTAGCCTTCACAAGGAAGGCCAAAGAAGGAGAGGTTGGCTGAAGATGCCCAGAAGTTCTGGGGGTGTGGAGAAAGGGCAAGAAAGGAGCTTATGGTGAATGACTCTGATCTTTTCATGAAAGTGGGAGATGAGGCCCTTGGCAGAGAGAAAGGTGGGGTGAGGTTTGAAGTTGAGGACTTGAGAAGATTAGACCTGAAAAGAATTTGTGTGTAGCAGTGAGAACTCAGTTGAGGTTAGAAAACCTGAATTTGTAGTAATCCCACTCAGCAAGGTTTAGTAACTTCCTCCAGAACTGTTCATTGACTTGGGAGTAGAAGTAGAGAGGACAAATGCCCCACTGCATCCTGGGCCATCTCCAGTTGTCCTGATCTGGGCCACTCGACCCATATGGCTCCAGAGGAGAAAGTGAGGCTGGTGACCTTGCACAGTCCTCCCTCACTTAAATCCAATTCACTTGCAAGTCATGGCATCACCTTCCTGATGCCATGGTCTTCTTTGAGAACGGAGGACAAAGAACAACAGAGGAAGACAAATGGGGGAGGGGGGAGGTTAAGAATCAGCAGGGCATTAGCAATGGAAGGACAAGGGGGCAAGGGAACACGCACAATTGGACATTTTTGAACTGGTTAGTTGTAGCATCAGAGGACTACAATAGGAAGAAAGTGAAGCCAGAACAAGGGTGATTGACTAGGAAACCTGAAATTGAGAGACTGGAGGGCCAATAAGAAAAACTGACATTTTGATGGTACTACATTTATCCCTTTCATATCATGGGGTTAGGGGTACAGTGCACCCATGATCTGGAAAATCCAAGTAAAATGTTTTGGTCCTACCTTAGTAGCAGAGAAAAAGTCTGGATTTTTTCTTTTTTTTTTATGGAATGTTTACAGTATCTTATTGTAAGACTTGAGTTAAATATTTGGTCATAGGCTCTGTGTTGTCTGCTGGCCTTTGCATGTCATCTGCAGTTTCCACAAAACTCTCCCAAAAATCCCATTTAATTTCTTATGCTGACCCACAATATAGCGAAACCACAATGGGGAAAGTCTCGAAATTGAAAGCTGCAATGTGGAAGGGATGACTATAAAGTTTACAAAGGGCTTCATAGATATTGCCTCATTTGAACCTGAAATGATCTTATGAGGTGGGTATAGCTATTATTATCCTCACTTTACAGATGCAGAAACCAGGGCTCAGAGAGGTTGTCTGTCTGTGGTCACGCGGCTGCAAAGTATTGAGGGGGAATTTGATCCCAGATCTTCCTGACGAGCCCCAGCACAGATGCCTCTCAAAGGACAAAGAGCAAGTTTATGAGGAGTGAGGTGAAGGAGAGGCAGCTAGTCAGAGGATGGGGATCAATTAGGAGAGGTTCAGAGTTGAAGGTCTTGGAGGAGGAACAGCCTTGCATAATCGATGCCATAAATGTAACCCTAAAGTATGACTCCTGTGAGTGGTTGAAATACAGTGGAAGTGGAGGTCCTGGCAGTTAAAGAGATTAACTGGGTGTTCAAATGGTCACCAACATGAATATAGAAGTGATTAAGGATAAGGGCAAGAGTCTGGGTGGAAAGGAAAGCCAAGTACTGAACTCACTGAGGAAGGAGAAAGTTGGACCTAAAGGGTGGTAGATGACAGCAGCACACATCTGGACAGGGTGAGATAGTTGGGTGGGTGGTGTGAACCTCAGCAGAGGAAAGATTGCTGACTGATGAGTAGCAGACGGAGGGTCTGAAAGAGGCTGTGGGCAGTAAGACTTAACTGGATGTCTCCCCTTGTCCTTATTAGTGTGGGAATATGAGAGGAGTGGCCAGAACTAAAGAAGAGTGATAAGGTTGATTATGGGAGGAAGAGAGCTAGTATGAGGGGGAGTTTGTTAACAACAGAGAGGGATTCCAGAGGGTCTGTCCTGGGGTGCAGTGGGGGGCAGAGGATAGAGACTGATGTGGGATAGGACTGAAAGATAGCAGGGAAGAGGACATTTGGTTTAATCAAAAGTTACAGTTGGAAAGGCATTGTAATAGCTCTGTCACCAATACTGCAACCTTAGCCTGAGATTGCGTTACCCAAACTTCACAATGAGTTATCCATCAGTTAAGTGAAACCCCATACGTACCTTCCTCTTATCATTCATAGTTTCTTTTCTCTTACTCCAGGGAAGGAAATATCTTCTCATTTTGGTTTTGGTTTTAAGGAGCCATTTCTAACACATTTATTCCTGTATTTTAGTAAGCTGCTCCTGCACCTTCCCCATCCTGTGGACAGCAAGACTGGAAAAGCGAGTTTTATCACAGAAAAGGAGATCCTTGAAGTCACCTTGACCATGAAAAGAGAGTTTGATTTCATTAATTTTTTCTGAAACCATAATGGGGGTAAGATAAGTTAATGTGGTCCAGTAAGACTGGAAGCATCATGAGAGTTCAAGGAAAACTCCCTGGGTGCTGAATGGTTCTGTTGATTATGAGATCATCCATTTACAGGGTCAAACCAATGAAAGATGCAATGACATAATCCATTGCTCAACAATTGGCGGTTAGGACAGCAAAAACCAAACAAAACCAAAGCAAAAAGGCCCTATTTCTCTGTTATTTGGTTAATTTTGGTTAAACTATATAGAATTGACTTATGATGAAGTAGTTGAAATGTTCCCATAGTTAACATATAGGTTGTCCAAAAAGTTCTGGTGCAGATTAAGCTTAAAAACTTAAAACTGCACTAGGACTTTGGGGACACTGTTTATAGGCATTAGCGTTTTCATCATCCATGTTTGAGTGGAAAAGAAAATGAAGGCAAACTGTAATCTTTGAGCAATTTAGACCTGTTTGAAATATTTGTTATTAGTAACATTTAAAAACATTTTTAAAACTTGTTTTCCTATGCAGCCTTATAGTTATTACCAATGCCTTTTTTGGGGATACTCTGCATTATATTGTGGCAAGTAAACACCTTGGATTCTGAAAGGCATATAGAGAAACAAGGAGCATTCTTACCAGTTGTCTGTGTCTCCCTCATTTCCAATCTTTCTTCTTAATTGGTAACATGTGCTAGTCTTTTGTCCCTGTTCTTGTTAACTGGTTAAGCGTAGTCTACCCATAGATAAAAATGTATCCCCATCAGTCAGATCCTTCATTTACAAGTTAGCAATAAAGGAAATCTTTGTCTTCTAAAGTAGACAGGTCTTCCGTGTTTTTTTGGTTTTGGTTTTGGTTTTTTTTTTGGTGAGGCAATTGGGGTTAAGTGACTTGCCCAGAGTCACACAGCTAGTAAGTGTCAAGTGTTTGGTCTGAGGCTGGATTTGAACTCAGGTCCTTCTGACTTCAGGGCCTGTACTCTATCCACTGTGTCACCTAGCTGCCCTCCATGTTTTTTCTTCAATCTCAGGAGTAAAGTGAAAAATTGAGAGATGATCATGCTTCTCCCACAAGAGCTGGGGGAAATTAGGACTCCAGCAGATGTGTCCTAGAGATAGTTAAGCCCCTTGGCTGAGGGGCCAGCGAGCATCTAGGCTGTGATTAGGTCAAGTAGAACCTAGCAGGACTGGGACTGTGATCAATTGGCTGTGCTTAAGCAGGAAGAGCTTCACGGAATTTAAAATTGAAATCACCCTGGTGACTGTCTACCGAGGAGACAGAAGGGGAAAGCAAAGATTAAGTGGCTAAGTAGAATGGGAATGATTTAAGTCCCCGAAGTGATTTAGATCAAAAGAGTAACCTGCTCTACCTGCTTTGTGGTTTTAGCATTTCTTTTATCTAGGCAATATTTTAAGAGTTTATTTGGATTATGACCCAAAGTATAAGCTCTGGGTAAGCATTTCTCTCTTCCAAAGAATAGCAGTGAATCAGTGGGAAATGCACTACCCCACCCCCTATTTTATGTGCTGGTCCTAATTAGAAAGACTATCACTCAAGTAAGGTGAGCTGGGTGACTGGGTACACTTTGTCCCTGGAAGAGAAGACAGCATTTCCAGGCCAAATTGCACTGGGCATTGCTTATGTGGTTCTGTATTAATTATGTAATGAAATTGAGCTTCAAGAACAATGTAATTTAGTTCAGTGATTTATAGCCATCTAGAAATCATCTTACTTCACTGTCCTTGGGGTCAGAAGTAGTCATTTTGGACAATTCAGAGGACTTGCTACTTTTAAAGAGAAATATTCGGACTTGTAGAATGGTAGCGTTTATCAAGTGATCATCAGGAATTTTTTAAGCCCCCTACTGTGTGCCAGGCACCATGCTAGGAACAGTCCCAGGCTTCAGTATTCTATTGAAGGAGACAACATGAACATATATCCTTAAGGAACTGCTTTGGGGCTCTGGGGTACCGTGCCACTCTATTTTCCACTAAGGGAAACTCAGCAAGTAATTTGAAGCAGGTTCAGGACTGGAGAATCCTGCCCCTGCTGGGAGGCAGTTCTTATACCCATTGGCTAGATAGGTCTCCCACCTCAGCACCGCAGGAACTCTTTTACTTCTTGGCTTACTCCTAGGGCCTCTCCACAAAGGGAAGAGTAAAAACAGAGACTCAGTGTACAATAGGAATTGGTTATGGGCCAGGTAATCATTCCTACACACACAAGAAATGCTGAAGATAAGAGATGGCACACATTAGCAGAATTACATAGGATTCAGTTACTTGTAACCACTATCACGATCTGCTGGGAGGCTGATACTTAAACCTCCTGCTACTCATGGAGCAGTTTTTGGGACTTCTGATTGGGCCTTTTACATATCACCTTGGCTCTGCACTGTGCAAACAGTTCCTGTTATATGTGGTAAAATGGTCAGGCTTGGGACACTCCTCTTATCAGCAGCTGTCATCCTCTTCAATGCTCTCTGCTGCAGCTAACTGCTCTTCTCATTAGACCTACAATTCCCAGACCTCTTGAACTCACAGGTTGTCTCTAAGCCTACCCTGAGAACCATGTTCAGTCACCTCAGGAAATGGAGCACAAAGCAGAAAAGACTGGCAGGGTCCCAGGCACAAGCTCTTTTAGTCTCCTACCCCCTGGCCTGGAAAAGTGGAAGCAAAGAGCTCACTGTGTGAGATAGTCACAGTGGAGAGAGGGAGCTGAAAGCTGTCTGTTCTTTTAACTCATGTGCGGCCCCCCCCCCCAATGCTGCTGTCACGCTATAGGAGGGTGACCAAGAGGCCATTCAGAGTTGACTGCATCATACTACACCACAAGATCCTTTCAGTGCTGGGCCACCACAGAACCAATATTAGACTCTAAAGCCCCAGCCTAGGTGGCCACCATAACCTGGCAACATACTCATGTAAGTGTACAAGCACGAAGAACAGCTGTTGGGGCCAGGGGACATTCATCCACCCTCTCTCTCCCACTAAGGGGTCATTCTAAGCTCTGGAACAAGTTTAATCCTTGGGGAGCCTGTCTCCTTAAAGAGGGAGGTCAGATTCTTTTTCTCTAACCCTCACCCCAGGACCCTGGAGAAAATTGGTTAATGTCTAGGGTGTCGCCCAGAAGGAGAAAAGAAGAAAGGTGGTTGATATATAATGTAAACCAGGTATAGAACAGCTATTTGTTTCTTCCACAAAAAGACTCAGAAGCATTCGTTGACAAGAAAAGCACAACCCTTACACATGAAAGCAGTCATTTATAACCACTATTATGTTCATCTGGAAGGTTCATAAGATGATAGATCAATAACTGATTATCAGGGTCTAACGCCGTCATTACACAGATGGAAACTGAGGCCAGAGAAATTAAGTGATTTGCCCAGAGTCACACAACTATTAAATGTCCAGAAGTGGGTTGATGAAACATCCAAACCTGAAGCACTTTGTGGGATTGCTGATTTGGCTTTTCACTTGTGATTAGGCTATGGGCCATCTTGTCCAAGAAGGAGGAATAGTAATGAGGGGCTCTTCCTAAAGTATGGCCAATGCCAGCTAAGGAACCCAGGAATTCCTGAAGTAGTCACTCCTGAGAAGTCCAGCTCTAAGGATCATTATCCGGGTACCTATGCTCAGGGAAAGATGAGGCACCCAGAGGCCCAAGATCCCAGCTCAGGCATGTGTGTTTGGAGCCACACTAACTTATGGGAAGTCACATAAAGAGAATTTGACTTCCAACATACTCGGGAGAGAGGAAGGGAGAGCCAGAGGGAAGAGACTCCTTTTAAAGTCTGAGTGGGTAGCTCTTCCTAATTTAGTGGCCAGTCCTCTTTGATCTAGCTTTAATGAAGCTCCACCTCAAATCCCACCCCCCACTCCATCCATCATAGGACCACCCAGGATTTGCTACTTCATCCCAAAACACCATCTCCTTCCATGTTGAGCCCATGTATCCCTAAAAGTGATCAGGACCCAGGCCTATCCCTACTCATGCTCCATGGGATGACCACTGTCATAGGTATATGCAAAATAATTACCACGTAATTTTTTTTGGGGGGGAGGGGAGGAGAGACATGCTTACAACTCAGAGGACTGGGAAAGCTAAAAGCGATCTTAGAGACAGACACTTTTGCTACAGAAGACCACTAGACTTTGCTACAGAAAACCAGTCTCCACTCACGCAAATCTAGAAAAGAGAATACACAGGAGAAATTTACCTCGTCACTATTTTTTGGTGAACCTTTTCCACCGTTTAGAACAGAGGTGTCAAACATGCAGCCTGCAGACCCCATGTGGCCCATAACACTCGTGTGTAGCCAGAAGCAGATTAAAATGTAACTGGGAAATATTTAACAAGATAAATAAAAATACAATAAAACGATAATATTACACTTAAAAACCAAGTTAATATGCTGCCTGCAGGGATCCCTGTATATGGATTAGTGCCCCCCCTCTCCCATCACCTTTCTATTTGAGTTTGAAACCACTGATTTAGAGAACTCAGTTCCTAAAGCCACAACTTGAGCACATCACTAAGCCTCTGCTCCTTCCTTAGGAGTTATTTCAATCCATTATTCTATCCTCTAATCCCCAGGGGCATTTGCATAGCCCTGTATATGCTCTGATTAGCTTTTGGCTTCCTAATTCCAAACTTGAACATTTCAAGATAATGTATTTTAAGAATTTCTTGATTGCATCATGGATTCTCCCATTTAATCCCCGTAATGGAGCCATCCATCAGTTCTTAGAACAGCAATTGATAATTTGTAAATGAATATGAAGCAACAAATTCTAGCATAGCATCATACTCAATCAACCTTCTAACTATAAATGCTCATGGAGGTAACCAAAGTAAGATGATATAAAAATCATTTCTACTTCTGTAACCCATTGTTGTCAGGGCCAGAGCCCCACTGATGGACAGGTGGACTTGAATACAATTTTAGGGGATCTCTCACAGAATCTCTCTGGCACATGCCTCCACTCAAGTAAACCTGGGAACATCAGTATCTGGCTTCCTTTATTCTCCCCTCAAAGGACCCTTAGCTCTCCTGCAAGCACATAGATTAACAAGATATCTTTTATTTTATTTAGCTTTTATGTAACCTAACAAAAAATGTAGAATGGGTATGAGCTTATACACCCTCTGGTTCTCCTAAGAAAGGTGGGAAGGATTTTGCCTTAGTGCCCACTACATTGGATTTCAATTTGCATTCTGGTATTCACCTATTCAAAGGCTAAACAGGAGAAGACAGGGAAATCATCTGGGGTAGAAGGGATGTAAGGGCCCAAAGATTTAAGGGAATTAAAAGTATGGTTAACAGAAGTTTAAAAAAATTAATATTATTTAAACGAAAAATCACATTTCCTCATAAGTGAACCAATATTTTTTTATGGGCGAGGTAATAGAAGGAAGTCTCTCAGGTAGGGAGAATAGAGACAAGTGATGGGGAAACTAGAAATACCCTCCTGCCTGGCCTGGATCTGAGAAAACAGGGGGAAATGGTTTCTTCCGTCCCTCAACCTGGAGCCTATGGAAGAGTTGTGTAGGAGGAAGGAAAGGGAAGAATGGGAGGGATGGAAAGGGGGAGTAGGAGGTCATTCTCTCCCTAGAGAATGGGGGGGGGTGCCACAGAGTGCATTTCCTTGGTGGAGGGGAGAGATATGAGCCTCATAATGGATTTCATTAGGGGAAAGCGGGCACCTCAGGAAACCCTCCTTTATGAGAAAAGATCATGCTTCCCAAGTACATAGTCCCCACTAGGAGAAGAGGTATATATGCTTCCTGGAGGTATCTGGTGTCAAAGTGGATGGGGGG